AATGTCTCGCGCGTGTCCGTCGCGCTTATCGTGGAAATCGAACGCATCGTGAATTTTCGGCGTTTCGCTATAACCCACCTACCTACCTACCTACCTACCTGCTTGCCTGCCTGCTTGTCCACCGCACCTCCTCTCGCGGACTTTCTCCTGGAGCGGCCACAAGGCGCCGTTAATCCCTCTCCCGCGCGCGCGATCGGCGTTATTATTTTTATCGCGACTTTAATAGCTGGCCGATACTCTCCGGGCCGCGCCGAGCGGCGGAATGCGCGCGGATTGAGGTCGAATCGTGATTCCCTTCTTCCAAATCTCTTTCCGCGTGACTCTACGGCCACCGGGATCACTTACGCGAAATAGTTGGGAAAATAATCAGGTGAGAAATTCGCGCGCGAACTTGAGCGGCCGACGCGAACCGGAAGACGCGTGGTGACGCCTGCGCAATGTTGTCGCCGCTCCTGCGGCCGTTCCGTTTCCTTATGCAGCTCCATTAATTCGATGGACTCGTTAAAGAGGAGTCTACCCTGTGAAGAGTGGAACTTTTGGTCGATACACACTGAGAAAAAAAAATACTTTAAAATTCACTTGTGGGATTGAAGGTTTCTCTGTGAAGTAAAGTTTACCTCTGTGAAATGAAATTTATTTCTGTGAATATAAAATTGGTCTTAGTGCGTTAAGGGAAGAATATGTAAAGATTCATATTTCTGGAGAATGAAAGTTTATATCTCTCCCATCTCTCTAGAAATAAACTTTATTTCACACAGAAAGAAACTTTATGTCCCACAAATAAATTTTCAAATATTGTGTTCTCAGTGTAAATCTTCCCTTGGTTAACGTGCTGTTTACTAGATTTCACCAAGATTTTCGCCGAGGTTATGTGTTTTTTCTTCAATAATTGTCATTATTTTATCCTTATGTGTTATTTTATATTGATTGTTTTAACATATTTGTGAAATAATATGATTAAATTCTCTGAAACAAAATTTTTCATTAGTGCAAATTTTTTTATTAGTGTTAACTTTTTTATTGAGAGAAGAAATATTGAAAAAAGATTGAAAATTTATTTGTGAGATATGAAGTTGATTTCTATGAATAAACTTAAATTCCATAAATTGTTATATATTTTTTTCAATTGTAAGAAATTGAACCAATAAAAGTCACACAGGTCGACAATTGTGACTAATTGTTTCTTGCGAGAGGATAATAATGTCGACAATTTTTATTTTAGCATATAATATAATTTAACATATGATATATGTAATTTTAATATATAATATACATATAATTTAATATATAATATAATATATAATATAATTTAATTTTTTTTTAATATGATACATTTTTGTGCTAATTGTCAAAACATATCAACTGCCAGCGTCATTCATTTATGAACAATATGTACAATATATTGACATACAATGTGTTGAGTCTCTCTTGCGCTACTAATAATATAAGATTCGTTCCGATTTTGTTCCTTGCATTAAGAATATACCAGAATTCGCAGCAATTAAAATACTCGGTCGGCGCGCGATGAACATTAATGCAAAAGTCGCACGAGCAAGTTTCCCTGTCTGTTGCGCGTTCGGCGACCGGTTACATCACGTTACAACTTATTCCACGTGGAGGCTCATTCGTCTGACGAAGAGTGGAAAGGAGTAGAAAGCGTTTCGGACCTTTTCTTTCGAATTAGTTACCGATCACGGCGATTAGAGCCGTTTGATTTCACTCGAAACGGATCTCGGAGCGCCGGTTCCGCTCGGCGATGTGTCATTCATCACGATCTACTCGGATCACGACCCGGACTAACGTACGTGGGTCCCGTCGGGATTTCCACGGCGCAACATCCGGCTCGCAAGTAGCAATTGCGCCAGTCACTCGTTCGACGGGACCCTTCGACCGTTGTCGGAAACCCGCGCGATGCGTTCACACTCCCCCAGAAGCCCTGAACCACCCCCAACCCCCGAACCATTCTCGAACTCTTGGCGGCCTTCGCTACCACGTCAGGAGCACTTTTGCGTGTATCGCTGACTCACGCGAAATTCTCAATGAGACGCATATTCAGCGACGCGATCTCAGGTGTCGTTCATCATGTACGTCAATCGATTCATTCGATTCGGGTTTTTTCCTTGTCTCACACGTTACGTTTCTTGACGCGCGATGTGATGTAACACATCACGCGCAGTACTCTTCTGTTGATAGTATACCATGCCTTCACGTTAGTTGACACGTGATCGGTGATCTAACTCGATTCGATTTTCGATTCGAAAATTCACGGGGATTAATCATGGTATGCCGTTATAACTTTAATTGATTAAATTAATTAAATCAATTAAATTGTGAGGAGACAATTTATTCTATTATAAAAGGATAAATCTTCTCTTTGGTCCATATTCTGAACTCTCAGTTATTGCTAAAAGCGTCCTTAAAAGTGATTTATAATCAATCAGAAGGCTTATAAACTATTTTTAAAGGCGCTTTTAGCGATAAAAGAGAATTAAAAATATAAGCCTTCGTTATGCGCAAGACCTACCAATATGCAAGAACCGTTAGACTACGATTTTATTCTTATCAATGTTAATTATGAAGTCCTCTATCGACTCCATTTTATTTTTATTAGATAAGAAAAAAATATGAAGAATCATTTGGTAATATTTAATTAAAGTGTTTATTTGCAATATCTAGTATTTGAAGAAAAATTTTTCTCAGAAGATATTGTACAAAAACTATTCTTAGTCTTCTTGAGATCCCACGTTATAGCCTAATAATTAAAAATGAATAATAAACATGAAATATCAATCTTTAATAATGATGAAAATTCCGCAATTGAGTCCAATTGAGCTCTAGAACTATATTAATTGAGGATTAATGATCGAAGCGAAGAAAGTAAAATTTAACATACTGCTGCGTGAATCTTTTTATAGATTGCACAAAAGCTCGATTGATGATTGAATTACTAACGAATAAGCAACGAGAGGAATGACAAATATACGAAATAAATGAAAAATAGTGATAGAAAATTAATGTAATTCGAGACCTACGTATCTTTGACTTCGTTTCAGTTTGCTCTCCGCCGGTCATATAATCAATTTTTCTAATGCAATGAATTAGGTTTGCTACGCGACTCAATAAAACACGACAATATGACTAATGCTGATCACCGATTGCGCATCACGCCGCGCTATTTACAATGCGTTAAGTCGATTTCCAACAATCTCAGGAACAGTCCAACGAAACTATCTCCGCATCGCAGTCTTTGACTTCCGAGGCTCTTACATTGCCCGAGTAAATTCAGCCGGAGACTCAATCGATCGACCGATCGATCAATCGACCGTCGTAAGGAGCAGTATAACTAACGCCATTAAAAATGCCACTGGAATTTTGTGACCAGGGGGATCAGCGATTTTTCCTTCGCAGGTTTCGTTTACCGTTTCTCGTAGCCCTGACCTGTCCTAGTCTAGCGAGATGACATCATTGACAGATGTGTTTGCACCTACGCTTGCCAGTCGTGCAAATGGGACTTGATATTTTTACACAATCCGTCGCTGTATAATTTTCGTATAAATAATTGCACAACAAAAATCGCATCCTTGGGCGCGGGTTATTTCATCGTTAGAAAAATACCAGGCGACATCCACAATGCCGTCCAGTCGCGAAAGCTATATACGTGGTGTCCCACGCGCTTACGCAATGTTGGGAATAACGCGCGTAAATATGCAATCGCAAGATCGCATCTCGTGCTCGCCACGGTGTTACAGACAAATCGGTCTCTTGACAAATCGCTACTCGCTACGAGAATGACCGTCCGTGTCATCGTGTGCACGCGCGATCGGCTGGCACGTCCCATCGACGCACAGAATGTTGCGAAACCACGAGATAACGCGTATCAGTGACATTTACGTTACATTAGACTCGTGTTTGATGAATGACAGACACACGCATCGCGAGGCCGTTCGTGTCGGTGAAAGAAAGAAATAGCGACACCCGAGTCGCTAGGTTATCGCTTTGCGCATAATGAGCGCTGATAGTGAACAAATGCGATTGTGCAAAAAAGACAAGAATTCATTGCGTACAAAATTATATAAACGATGCACATAGATTTATATAATGAGAGGGGTGAGGTTAAAATTTATAAAAAATATTATTGGAATAGAGGATTTTTAACTTGGGAAAGTGGTTACTAATTAGATTTTGTATATATCAAGCCTTTCTCTGTTTAGTTAATTTCCGCAGTTTCCCTTCTTATATTTTAAACATAAAGTAATACAATTATAAAAGTTATGATGAAAAATAAAATAATCTAAGTGCTGTTTATATTACAAAAATATTTTATTAACATTAATTACATTTAATTATATCTAATTATGTTTCTAAAATGTATTACAATATATATTTATATTATACAAAATTCTCATACTCTTGGTATACTTTAAAAGAAATACCACATAAAGCGATTTTTTTAGAAAGGAAAAAGATATATATATTATTTGTGAAAGATAGAATATGAATCATATTATGACGCATCCACGTCTTGCAAAGGTATCAGTGATTATATGTCATGTACAAATAGGGAAAGGGTTGAGCATCCAAAATTCACTTGAGATACTTTGTTCAGGCTGTTATCCTTACACAGAAATAGTTATTTGCAATTATATCATCTTATACATACCTCCTATTGGCCCGAAGATTTCTCAACGATTATAGATATCTGAGAGTCTGAATATAAAAGATTAGTAAGAAAAGATGAAGAAAGAGAAAAAGTGGGAAAGAATACGATATCTTGCGTTGCTTTTTGCGCTCTTTCATCGTTCACCTTTTCATGTGGGAATTCTCATCCCACCTGTGTGCACACGTCGTTGCAGGTTAGATGCGCGCGAATGGATTATGCCTACGCGCGAAAAGAGCCTCGTTGTTCCCCGACATATGTCGAAGCGGTCTCGCGATCTTCATGACCATAAAACGCCGATCTCCTCCTCGGATCGCTCGATGCCGTACTGCAATCACACTTGTCGTTTTAACGCGCGACGGTCTAGTGTCCGCGAAACGTTCGAGGCGAAAACGCGGACACAGGCGAACAATAAAATTATAATAAGAAACATTCGCGCGATTATTGCTCGCGCTTAATATAATTCATCGCGATTGTCCGCTGCGCGAAGGAAAAACAAACGTTATTGCGAATTACGTTATTTATTTTATCGCGGCTACGTTCAATTGTGCGAGGTGATCGCCGAGGAACCGGTCGCCTACTGTCGAATGCGCACAAAGATCTCTCTGTTTGCTCAGCCCTTCCTCTTGCCTCTGTTTTTCCTTTTGCGTGTATTTTCAACGCCAATGTTCGACGTTGATGTGAAATCCCGTTTTGCTGACTCGCTCCTCGACGCACACACGAGAGAATCGCCACTTAACATCGTTCTTTTCCCTGTTTTCCAGATTTCCACGATGAGGACACTGCTGGAGATGTTACTAGTCGTAGTAGCGTTAGCTACGCACATCCGTGGACTCCCTTATGGAGAGCTGCCGCCTCAGTTGCAAACGCGTCAGTATAAAAACATATAGAATAAATGTCTAAGGCTCGTATTAATAGTCGTCACCTGAAACTTGTTCTATGTAAGATATTCAGATTTCTATTTAAAACTAGATCCAAATTTTTTAGTTGAATTATAATATATTTTATATTTAATAATTGATATATATATTTGATATATATTTATATCTATAACCGTGATTCAACTAAAAAATTATCATCCAATTCTAAATTGAAATCTCTGAGTATCTTAAAAGACAAGTTTCAAATAGTATTAATACGGGTCTAAAAGACACCTGAACGACATTCTATTTGTTTTAAATGTCTTTAGGTTGTCTTTAGGTTTTTGTTTTAAATGTCTCGAAGACGCATTTCAGATATCTGTGCTGTCTTTGAATTCGTACACACGAAGAAAATCTTACTGTAGAATTTTGCAAACGTTACTGCAAACGTTACTGTAGAATTTTGTAACCAAGGAATGTGTCGGCAAGCTTCCTTAATTTATTGTCTTTACGTTTCATATATATTGTATATTTCAGGAATTGAAGTTTATTGTTTAATTTAATGTTTAATGTTTCTTAGCAAAATTTATTATATCTCTTGGCACAATAAACTCTATTGTCAGTTTATTTTCTCTTACTGTTGTAAAATTCAAATGAAATTGAAAAAAATTTATATGAAAAAAGCTATATTTTCTCCATGTAGGAGACACTCGATGCATATTCTGTTTTTCTTCTCCAACTCGCTGACTAAAGCAAAATTTAAATTCAACGGCGATGTTCTCCCGATACGTAAACATTAAGAATAATCATCTGGTAATTTAGAGTTTTTTTATCTGTGTGAAAAGAGTGTAATAAATGGAAAACTTAAGCGAAATCTCTGATCGGCTTTACATGTGGTTTTTCACGAGACACATTAAGTCAACCTAAAGTCGTTCACATTTTTGCATGAAAAATGTTCTGCTGCATTGTCAGAACTATTGAGTATTGAAAAGAGAATGTTAAATAAACATAAGTTAAATTCTCCCGAGAAACGGGACTAATTGAATTTACCGTCAACCGAATCTCATTTTAGAGGGGCAAGTTGTTTGGTACGGCGACGACGGCGTCTCCCAAGCTCAGAGCAACGTTTATCCCAACTACAAGGAGAACATTGTGCCGGGACAGATTTGGGATCACTCGCAACAAAGTGAGTGACTCCGTTATGTTATTTGTTCATTTCTCGTGAAATTCGAAAAGAACAGCTCACATTTCATTGCAATGTCTTGACGCAGACACATTCACGGGATATGAGACGCACGCTCCATCCGAATCGCAGCAGCAGCAACTGCAACAGCAGCAACTGCAACAGCAGCAACATAATCCCGATTATGTGTATCAACCTGATCAGACGCTGCAGTCTTATCCCAATTCCCTGAACGATCTCACCGTCACCTGCAGCGGCCAAAACGAGGTCTGCGTCAGCAAGAGTTTGTGCATCGACGGATACGTGCATCACCTGAAACAGGGCTTCATTCGACCGGGACAGGTGAGACAGTCCCTCATCTAGTCCGTCGTCCTTTGTCGTTACTGTTGATTTTTATTTAATTATTATTTTTGTTATTCAGTTCATTATTTAATTATTTTGTTCAAAACTAATAGGCAACTAACACAAGGCTGGAACGTGATGTCATATTTATTATTTTATTTATTTTTATTTCTTTTATTTATTGCTATACACATATACATATTTGATTATTTATTTCTACTTTGATTTATTTATTTTTTCTATTTCACATAACATCGAATATTCCTTTTCTGTAGGGAAACCTGTTTCGTGGAATTGCATTTCATTGATAAAATTTTAATAATCTAAGGGGTCTTCGCGATTGTTTCGCGCAGGTGCAAGAATGCAAGCTTAGCCATGAGACGTGCTGCATCGTGCGGTATGACTTGAACAACTCGCCGTACGACGAGCAGTACAACACGGTGCTGAAGGACGATCAGTATCACGAGTACCCGGAGCCAAGTCTGGAGAACGACCAGAAGTACGTTCCATATGGCGAGAACAATCAGGCGGACGTGTCCGAGCTGAGCCCGCCGTTAGAGAACGACGCTGAGCTGCAATCCGGGACCAACAACGGATACGCGATCGACTCCGCCGGCCAGCCACATGACAACATGCAAACCCCTGAAGATGTACCCATTGATTACAACCAGGTGCCGGCTGGCACGAGTCCACGGGAACAATACCAACAAGGTAGATTCATCGTCCTACGTAAGATATTTCGTGGGATCTAATTGGGATCCAGTTTTATTTTCTAAAAAAATTATGAACCTTAGTTGGAAGATCTACGCAAAGATTCAGAGATTGGAAATATAATGTTTGAAGCGATGTTAATAAGCGAGATTTTAAGTAGGAAATTCAAACCTGCTTCCGCGTTTGATCTCCCAAACGTTTTCCCAGAAATTTGTTCCTGCCTTTCACTTTATATTAGAATTGAATATATGAAACACATTTAGAGTATTCATACTTTATAATCATAAATATTTAAAAATTGCAAATACTACTGAAACAGTTTAAAGTATTTCAGTTTTCTATTTTATTCTTAACTCAATAATTGATATAAAAAAGAATTCTCTAATTCTATAGAAATATACCGATTTTCCGCGATCTCCTCGATAAAAATTAATTAGTAGAATTGTCGAGGAAATGGCATTATGTTGGCAACAAGTGATTGACAATGGATTGACATTGCAGGCAGTGCAATCGCCAGCGAGCCAATTTCACCAGCAGTGAACCCGGCTGCAGCTGCGAATCCCGCAGTCTTCCAGTTTCCGATTCAATCAGGCTGCGCAGCTGCCTTGCTCTGCGTAGAGGAGCAGTACTGCACGTTGGAAGGTGTCATCAGTCCGGAACCGGTCGCGCTTACTAGCAAACAGCTTCTACGACGTGTCCCGTTGAGTGTAAGCAACATAGAATGTTCAATTCAGCCATTACGATTGCAGAATCAGAAAAGATTTTTTTAGGATTTATTATTTTGTCCGTGATCTTATTTGTCCAAATTATGCTTCGCAATAATTTTATCCTCCAGAAATACATAACGAGAATTCATGGAGTTTTTTTATATTTTCCTTTTATAAGAAATCGTCATTATTTTTTCGTAAATTTTCTAATTTTTTATGACAAAATTTATTAATCTTTTCTTGTTAAAGTCGCTTCTCAAATCAAATCTTTGAAGCTATTTTTATCTACACTGACAGAAAAATACTTGAAAATTTATTTATGGGATATAAAGTTTATCCACATACAGAAATAAACTTTATTCTTAATTCTATTTCACAGAAATAAATTTTATATCTCACAAATAAATTTTTAAGTAATTTTCCTCCGAGTATCTGATATCACTCTATTAAAGTAACGCTAAATTTCCAAAATAAAGAAACCAATACTCAAAACATTAAAAGCATTAATGTGTTAATAATAATTATTAACAATTATTAAAAAATAATCATTGGACATTCAATTTGCAGAGCTGCAGAAACCAGGAAACCGGAATAATCGGTAAATGTTGTCGCGATCCGAACTACGTGGACCCATGGCCGACGGGCAACTTGCCGGCCAACTACACCGGCGGCTTCGACGAGCAAGGCTTCCCGACGTTCCTCAACATCGCGACCGTGCGACCGCCGACGAAGAGGCCGGTCCCGCAACAACCCCCTAAGACGATTCCCAAGCCGACAGTGAGGCCGCCCGTCGTGCCTCAGACGCCCCAGTTCCATGAGCAGCAGCCGACGAACGTGGTGCCGGAGGACTCCAATGCGACGCCGCATGTGCTGCCGACTCAAGTGCCAACAGCGGCCAGCACTCCTACGCCGTTCACCAAGAAGCCGTACGAGTTCGACTCGAGCGACCAGCAGCCAATTGCCGTGGTGCCACAAATACCGAACCAGCCGTGCGGCGTGAGAAATTACGTAAGCCTCTCCGATATTTTTTTTCAGATATATAATATCACATAATCGTTGTTTTTGACGATATAGACGCGTTGAAGTAAAATCTCGATCATGAAATTCGCGGTTTAGACTAGATTGACGAATTTGCCTCGAGAGGTGACAAAGATGTTATTTTTATATTTATATTAGCTTTAACTACCCGGCATTGCCCAGGTTATCATAAAGTGTCAAGGGGATTAAATTAGGGGAAGGGAGTGAGGTGTTAGGAGGATCGATCGAAGGATTTAGGAGCTTATATGGAACATATAGACAGACAGAAATTTTTTATTTCTCTATTTTATCCAGTGAACACAACGTTACACGTAATGTACATGTTAGTTATAATTTCCTACTCAACAATGTAACTGTTATATAATATACTTGTTATATATCAGTTACATTGTTGAGTAGGAAATTATAATTAGCTTGTATGTTACATGTAACGTGATGTTCACTGAGTATATATTATATATGTGGATCAAATATTATATTTTGCGCGTACGGTGCGCATACATACGTATGTACTTATATTTGTTCAAACGTTCGGAAATTTGTATCTGACTCTTGTATGTTGAGGATCAACGGCCGACCGGCTTCAGGAATACTAACGCGGCTTTCGCGGAGATCCCGTGGCAAGCGATGGTCCTGTGGACACCGGAACGTAAAATCTTGTGTTCCGGTGCACTTATAGCACCAGACGTCGTCTTGACAGCTGCCAGCTGCTTGAATGGGTAACGGAAACTTTGATAAACAATTATTGTCCTTCTCCTTGGTCTTCTTCTTGTTTATCACGAGAGACAGTCATTACTTTTTATGAGTATTTTAATATATATTTATTATGTATATTTTAATATTATTTGTTATATTATTTATATTATTTTCATTCTCATATATATTATTTTATTTATATTATTTTAATATCAGGGGGGAGGTAGTATATTATATATCTTAATATATATCTCTTTTAAATATATTTTTATTTTTCTGTAATTACTGTACCTCTTTTTCTTCTCGCTAATCGGACAAAGTTTATGAGTCTAGTTTTCCGAGAATGAATTAATCGATTAATCGAACTCATTCAGATTGTCACCGAACGAAATCTCTGTGAAACTCGGCGAGTGGAAATTGGGCTTCGAGCTTAAGCAGGAGGAGCCACTTCCATTTGAAATCATCGATGTACGAACGATCAAGTACCATCCCGGTTACATGGAGGGACTATCCAGCAACGATACCGCTATGCTATTCTTGGAGCATCCTGCGACTTTCAATTTACACATCAACACGCTATGTCTTCCTGAAGACTATCAAGTACAAGAGACGTCGCAGTGCATTGTGACAGGATGGGGCAAATCGATACTGCAATGTAATATTCGTAATTTGTTTACATTTATACGGAAAGAATATTATGGCTTTCCTTTATATAAATCCTTTTCACAGAAACATCTTTTGATTCCAGTAGATTCCAGTTTTTAAAATATAAATAGCAAATATCAAGTGGAAGAATAATACATTTAAACAGAATATCTGATTCAGAGATTTCTCAGAATTTCTTGATTAAAAATAATCTAATTATTTTAATTATTTAGAAATTTTTAAGAAAAAAATTATTAAATTCTCTCCACATATACGTAACGCTATAAGAAAAATGAAACTTGGACTTTTAATTAACTTTATTAGCTTTATTAGCTAAACTTTATTAGCAAGTCAAGCGTGAACGGCGGTAGACGGTAGTTATTGATATAAGTACGCTGTCGGTGCAAATATAAAAGAAAACAGACTAACGCATGAAAATTTTAGATTGAATGAAGATTCCAGGGAAAATATTAACATTAATTAATATTAATCAATCAATATATTAATATCAATCGTGTCGATTTGTAATTGTGACTTTTATATGTAATCATCCGTATTATTGTGCGTACGATGTGTGTGAGTTTAGCCCATTACGCTGGTGCTATCATGCACATGGTGGACGTGGACCTACTTTCGCACGAGATTTGCCAGAACCGCGTGCTGGGTGCGAAGTCTCCGATCAACATCGCGAGCGACGTGATTTGCGGCAAGGCTCGCGAGGAGAACAACATGTGCCAAGCGGACGTCGGCGGTCCGTTGGCCTGCTATGATGGCAACGGAGCGTACCACATCGCCGGAATTTACAGTCAGGACACCGGATGCTTACCCACGAATCAGGTATGTGCATGCATTCATAAGAGAATACTATAATTGCCCCAGAACTCACACAGAGAATTTCGTTAATGAGGCTTAGTTGAAATCAAATTTCTTTAAAAAAGTTATTGAAACTCTAATTAAGTTATTGAGACTCTGGAAGAATCTACGCAGAATCGTATTGAAAATGAAATGTTCCAAACGAGCGATTCTAAGTGGGAAACCCGGCAAGATCCCGTTTGCTTTCCTCGACGTTTTTCTAAAGATTATATTGTTTTTTATTTTATGTTAAAATTAAATAAATCACATATGAAATACTTTGAGTATTTCACACAAATGCTTCACAAGTGTTTAACACCTCACAAGTATAAGTAGAAAAAGGAATAAAGTTTCAATGTTTAAAACTTCTTAATTTTTCATTTTCTATTCTATAAAAATCAATAATTGGTACAAAAATAAGCTTTTCTATTCAATTCCGCAAAAACATATCGATTTTATCTATTGAGAAGAGATTTTCCACAGTATTTCTGTTTCGATTCTAAACAGAGAATCTATGTCTGGGACAAGAATGGAATTCCTAATTGGTATCGCAGTGGAATAACATATTTTGAAATAAATAGCAAATATCAAGTGGATATAAATTGGGATATTCTGACTGGAATTTACGTAGTGTCTGAGGAAATTTTGAGGAATTTGCTGGCACGGGGATGACATAACTTCGCGTGTTCGAGGCAATTGACTCGGGCAATTGCTCGCGTTCAATTCATCGCGCGAAGGACGTGTCTCCGGCCACGTGGCGCAGTGTTAATTTCTAATCTCGAGTTAATTATTCTTGCGTGTCTCGCGACACTCTATCGACACCGCGCTTCGTCGGGTTGATCTGATTGACGCGTTTTCCAGGTCGCGACGTTTGCACCAATCGATCTCACCTGGGTGAAGCAGACCATGCACTTCCCGCACGAGGCGCAACCGAAAATAGACGTCGCGCCGACCAGCAGCGTCGACGACGGATACGACTACCGGAAGAGCAACCTACCAGCGGGCAATCAGTATCTACCGCCTGTGTAGAGACACGTACGCACTTGCCACACATATACACATTGTGTACAGCGTAATCTCTCCTCTCTTTACTCTCTTTGAAATACTCATTCATCCATAAACATTGCGTTACGAGGGATGGAGGGGGAGAGAGAGAGCGACGGTTGCGTTCTTCCTTTTACTTCTCTTATTTGATTTATTAGTGGCGCACAGCGTCCATCTCGTGCCAAGTCGTGAGAAGAGTCAACGAACTTCGGGGTCATAATTGTCATTATGCCACGAGTACAATTATCATTATATTATGAGCACAACGCGCGATTACACAAACGATTACATTGCTGATGTCGAAGTTAAGATAGCGAGTTATCAGTGAGAATGGTCTGTTTGTTGACACTACGATAAGCCCTGGATAACGATCTTCCTTAAAAGTACGACGAACTATCGAGATCGGGACTAATGTCGTTCAGTGGCGGGGCGAGCGAATTCGGAACAATTATACGACAACAACAATAAGAAGAGTAACGAAAAGAAAAAAAAAATACACGAACTCCTAGATTTTAGACGCAAATGTATTTATTTGCCTGAAGTAATGCAGACATAATATATATCTGTATGTGTATATATAACGGGAAGATCACACATAACAATGTATGCTTCTGCGCGATTAAGATTAAGCTGCCAAGTAATCTGTCTCGAAGTAATGTTACGTTTAATAAAACATTTGTTAAAAAATATCGAAGGTGTCGATTTCAATCAATTTGATGAGATGAATATGAATATGAAATACTCTCTCGATTTGCAATCCTCTTCGTCGGCAAACTAATCCATCTTATCGCTATCATTTGTCAAATAAACGATTCGTTGATTTTTGAGTTAATTGTTCTAAAACGTTTTCACTTCAAAGCTAGTTCGGTCAATCAACCTTCTTCGAACGTAGCGAACTGTGAGAACTTCTTTTGGTCGTTCTTAAGACGAAATGCACGATAAACGCAACGACGATGAGCACGATTATCGTGCAGATCACGAGAAAGCCGATTACGTCGATGAGATTTAATTGCCACCAAGATAAGTCCAATGCGGGCGATCGCAACGCGTCATTGCCGTACCTGACAATGTATTCGATCCAATAAATAGCAGTGTCCATACTATTCATTGGCCGGTCGAGGAATCGACGGGACAAATTCTGCGCACTTTCCCTAGAACGGATAAATCAACATTACTGCGATTATATTCGAATTAAAATTAACACATCAACTGTTAAAAAAATATGAGTAATGAATTATTTAACCCTTAAGCACTGACAGGAGTTGTAGACTCCCAATGAAACAAAAAAACCTATTGCTGTTTCAGCGTATACACATCGCGTATACTCCCGTTTAAGTGTATACATCGCGTCTGTCTATCTTTTCTTTGGCCCATAAAATACAAAGAGGCGACAAGGAAAGACGTTTCGCACACTTTCTCAGGTAATTATCAAACTTCGAAATATTTTTGTAGGTCTGTGTCAGTGCTTAAGGGTTAATTATCTTCTCCGTACTTCAATTATACAAGGAGAAAATATCGTAGCTTTTTTCGTATAAATTCTTCCCAATTGTATTTTCTGGTAGTGCAGGACAGAGTATTGTCAATAGAATTTATCTTGATAAGGAGTATAAAATCTATTGATAATCTTCCTGCATTACAGAAAATATGATATAATTGAAAAAAATTTACATGAAGAAAAGCTATGATATTTTCTCCTTGTAATTGGAATATGGAAAAGATAATTTATCCTTTGGAAAACTATCCAGAACTTATAACATATATTTACGCGAGTTAAGTCGCACACAGAGAAAATTTTATAGTAAGCACTACTATTAGGACCTTAACTTAGTTTCCGCCCGCAAATGTTAGAGGGCAATGCAAACAGTTCTAGTAGTCATTACTAACGAAACAGGTAGTTTGTGATTAATTTCGACATTTCTCGATAACATTCAGTCAGCATACACAATTATTTTCCTAAACAACAATTTCTTTTGCTTTGTGAAAAATGGAACGCGATAAAGTGTTTTTTCGACATGTGCTTTTGCACTATTTTGATTTGAAAAAAAGTGTAGCAGAAGTTCATCGATTACTTGAA